TGAACGTATCCATCGTTGTGCAGTTACTGTCCTCAGCGTGCAGCGAGTGTTTCTGTCAGCCCCTCCCACATTTGTGCACATTTCTGTTTTAATTCCTGAGTAAAAATAAAAATGCATCAGCATCAGCTACCTGTAGCACTTTCAGTTCTTCCTCTTGCATTTCCTGCAGGTATATAATATWTCCTCAGGAATAAACATGTAATACAAACGTATCAGCCTAACACTTGATAAAATCTTCATTTCAAAGTATGACATGCAAGGTTTGGGCTTTTTTTTTCAATATGTTTTGATATATTATTTTGGATACACTCACCGCATTTAAAAAAAAATATTTTCATCAATGGAGAAAATAACACTTCAAGTAGTGTTGACCAAAAATCCACATAGCACTGCCACCAACACCCCGAYTGAAAACATCCAACAAACTGTTTTTTTTTTTTTTATATATAAATGTGCTTTGTTTATTTTTTCTGCTTGGAAAAAATGTAACCAGTTGCTGTTTTTTTTTTTGTTTTTTTTTTTGTGGACCCCCACAGCTGTTTTCATGTGTCCATCAGACGATGCATAAAACCGTGTTCTATGTACTAAAGCATCCACTTCACACCAGTGAGCCGTCCCTTTCATCGACAGTGAGTGTGTTTGGGCGGCTGTAGTAAAATGGTTAGGGGAGTTGTCCCATAAGTGGTTTCCTGGTTCAATTCCCCGATTCCATCTGAAATTCTCACTCTYATGATGAAATGCCTACTATACAAATTAAATTATACGTAAACACCTGAACAGCTTCACAGGATCATGCAGTCCAAAAGCCTGGCAGTCATTAAATATGAACAAATCATATATGCTAAAAACGCAGCCAGTATAAATGATTAATAATATTCAGTTTTATGTTCACTTTTAAACAAACACATACGATTTAGTGAAAATGTTGGATCCCTGTTGTTACATTCTTTGTGTTTTTGCCGACGATGTGCTTCTCTTTTCTTCTGCTTGTCATTAATTCTGCTTTAGGCGACAGTCAGACTTTCCAAAATGTCAACTGCTGACATTTTGGATTGATCTTCTTTTAATCTACATGTTTATAAGATGATAATGGCTGTTTTGTCCCCTCTTTATTTTTATAAAAAATTTATAAATAATGGGGAGGCGTAAGACAGCTGGCATGAGCTGAAAATAAAATGTCAAATTCAGTGAAAAAATATTTAAAAACTGTCCCATTTCTTCAACTCCATCAGAGGATTTAAACAGCTGGCCCCAACTGGAAGAGTGAAGTGTYTGTGTGTGTTTGCGCTCCAATAAAACATGCAGATGCTGCTCAGCGCACACAAGCTTTGTTTCTGTGAAGTGCACATTTCAGCGTGGAGCAGACGTTCTCTCAGGGACTAAAGGTTTCTCATTAATTTTTGAATTTGCACTGGGGCCATCGGTGGGGCCACAGAGGCTTTTTGTTTGATGTATGATTCATGTTAAGTGAGTTATTACCTATTACAGTCAAACCCATCCCGACCATTTCTAAAGCTTTTTGGATTTGCTGTTTTCAGTGTGTCTTCAGCTACTCTAAACACGCATTGATTTAAATTTTTGATAAAGTGTGTGAATGAAAATCTATTTAAAAATTATGTATATACAGTTTATATGTATATATATATATATATATATCAACAGAAAAGGAAACTTGTGGGTATTTGAAATGTAAAAAAATCTAATATCACTTTTATTTTATTCTGTCTCATTTTTTGCAGAAAAAAGCAGCAGAGCTTTAAAGCTTAGTATAAAAAACCTTTGCTTTGTTCTCATGTCCACAGCTGAAGCATGTCTGACTCTTGAGCTCACAGCTAACAGTGCAGCTGAAGAAGGGGTGCAGAATGTAGTGACTTGTTTTTTTTTTATTACTGGATGAAGGTTTATAAATTAGGAACTGTTTGGTTTTTGAAATTTTCGAAACTGATTTTAAAACAGCAGCCGCTCACTTTGGACTTGGCTCCACTCTAACTAGCAGCTCATAAATCTGGGCAGGTGTAAACATGGTTTCTTTAAACTGAGGTTGTTCAAAGACAACAGGTAAAATATTTGTTCATGGCCTTTCTACAGAACCCTCCATCAAATCGTCTGAACTCTTCCTTTAAGCTCTGTATAGCCTCTATACCACATCCGGTCCAGTACTCAATGCCACTCCCAACACTTCCAGTTCACAGTCAACACAGTGTTAGCGAAAGATTTTTTCACCCGACTACGACTCTTAATGATCTCCACAGTACAGAATTATCATATTACATGTACCAACATTAACACAGGAGACGTACAGGTCCAGCCAAGTGGAAAAAAAATCACTCCAAAGTGGATTAAAGNAAAAACATAGATGTGCTACTAGCTGGGAGTCATTCACGACACATTCTTTTAAAGTGACATTTTGTGGTATTACTAATCTTATTATACTTAGACATCTATTTCRCATCCAGAAGCTGAACGAGGTGCAGGTTGTAGGCTCAGTGTTTTAARGCTCAGTGTTAATAAAATGTACTTTAGAGCCACAGACACAGTTTGTCCAATCACTTGTACTCTAAAACTTGTGATCCTGAAGAATGCAGTCCTTGTGATTTACTCAAATCTAGACATTCATATTGCACTGCTTTATTAAAAAAAAAAAAGATCTGACATAAGAAACTGATGTGTCTTGACACTGCAGCCAAACAAAAACTGTTTTAGGAAGTCAATCAAAAATAATTGCCAGCTCAGTCTGCACACAGTGCAGGTGTTGAGGCTGCCGCCTGCAGCTCTTCCTTCAACATCTTTGTTACAGATCTGTGGTTCTGTTGCTTCCTGCTCGACTTCAAACTGATCCGAAACATACCAACAATCACCGCTGTTAACCTGGCTGTTATTTATCATAACTATTAATGATTAGACATATAAAAATAGAAATAAATAGAAATGTTTAAAGTATATTCTCTATAAGGAGTTGTGACATCTGTGGTGTCGTAATATGCAAATTAGGTTATTAAATACATTACTTTTATAAACTTTGGGTCAAATTCCTTATTCCCCTTTGACTTTAAAGGTCTATGACTAAACAAAATGCTTACAATTTTGTTTGGATATGGTACATTGCATTTCTTTTACCGTAATTCCCATAAATTCCCTCGGAAAGTTTCCAGTTTGGAATGATTCCAAAAGTTCCCACAGCCTAATTTCCCATTTAAAGTTTCTTGAACGTTTCTCAAAATAAACCAGAAAATTTCCACCCTTTTTGCAGCTCTATTATGGATCCAATCAATAATCATATTGTGTCACACCAAAAAGACTGTCATGTCTATTCTCTGTTGTTGACGTGACAAAGGTGTACAGGTGTCATATGTATTGGATGCAAGGTGCTTGAAGTTTAAAGACCACTTTCACAGTGGTCTTGGTAATGATAATAATCCTATCCTTTTGTAATGAGAAAAGTTTAAAACACTTCAGATACAGTGCTGAGGAAAACAAACCTTTTCATTCAAGATTCTGGGTTTGGCCTCAAATACAAATCAGAAAATATTTCCAGCTATTCTTYAAGGAAATACCTTAAAACTCCTTTGTTTTTATTTTTTAACAATGACACATGTCTTGTGTCTGCGGTGCTACAGCAACACATGGAGCAGTTTGGATATAATAACAGTGGGTCAGCTCCTCGGGGCAGTTTTGTTTAATTAAAGATGGTTCTCATTACCTCATCCCCATTCCGCCTACATCAGAGTGGCCTTTTCATCTCACCTTAATATTATTCTGCAGGAGGATTTGGGGCTGTGCAAAACAATAAGAGGCAGCAAAGACTCAAACACTGCACATCGTTTTCCTTTAGGAAGCAGTTAATTATCATAAATCCACTCATTTCCTTTTTCAAATTTTTTTTGTCAACATAAATCTGCAGTCTTTACTGAAAAACACAACCCGACATTCTTATTCAAATATTGATTGAAGCCTGTGGCAGATTGCTGATCTGGGAGTTTCCCATCGGAGTCGTAACAGGCGTCGTGATGAAATCTGACACAAAGCCTTCGACAGATTAATCAACACGGCTGAAATACGACCCTAAATTTTAACTGAATTAAACATGGAAGGAATGCATATTGCTCACTGGCTTTTAATGCCAGAGTTTTAGACTGAGGTCATGGGAAAAGACAGACTTGTAGCCATTTATGTTATTTTCAGTCTCCTGCAATAATTTGTGTGTTAAAGTATATAGTCTGAGTCATCCTCAGCTAATCCCACACCAAAGCTTAGCTCAGTTTCGGTCAAATTCACCGAGGTGTCTGAGTTCAGTAATCTGTGGTGGCCATCTTGAATCGGGTTGACTCCAAACRTGGATCCCTTCTACRTGTACATCCAGTAATTACTTTCCAAGAGGTTCATTCGAATATGTCAAGTGGTTTATGAGATATTTTGTTATCAGAATTCATTCCATCAGTAAAAGCCAAGCATCTTAGCAAAGCGTTATGTTAACGTAATGATTACTTCCAGAAATTTTCATTAAAATTCAGTGTTTTACGATATATATAGTTGATTCTAAAAATAAACTGTTAATTACAGATCTTGCATTACCAGTTAATGCTCAGAGTATAAGTTGAGGATCAGTAATAGCAAAATGTGAGTGAATTAACACTGAAATATGGTTATGGTCGGTGACTTACTTGTTGAAGCAATGTTAGGTTTTCAACCGGGGATTAGATGTTGGCAATTCAATCATTAGCATTCAACCATGAAACATTGATTCAATAACATGTTTTCAACATTGGTTATTTGCCAGGAACTGGACGATTGTTTGATGGTTGATTCCCCATCAATCGTCCATAACCAAAACCATAACCATAATAATCATCGTACCTTAACCAAAAATCAACTTTTTTACCTTAATCCAACTGAATTAACATCTTTTGCTATCTGGGATCTCTGCTACTACCACACTGAGGTCACAAAGCCTGGCTCTGAGCAGCAGGAGGAGTGTGACTTTGTCTTCCTGTGTTACCCAGCAGGGCCGTGGTGGGACACAAAGAGCCGCTGCCAGATGACAGTAAAGACAATATCACCATTTTCACCCGAATCCTCGACCGGCTGCTGGATGGATATGACAACAGGCTACGTCCTGGGCTGGGAGGTAAGTTATGATTGATTACAAACACCCACACAGGAAAAACAAAAAAAGCTTCAGGCAGAATMTCCTGTTTGCCGCTGCATGCTCACATAAAAACAAAGGCCTGCAGATAATGTGATACATTAACACGTGTTTCAGGCAATGCAAGAACTCATAAATATTTATATCCATTAGACCATGATGTCAGGCAGCGCTGTTTTCATGAAATTCTCCTGTATACGAATAAACGTAACGGAGGTAAATACAGTGAGCAGGTGCAGCTGTGAGATACTGCGTTTAGTTCAGGCGTTCTTTGACAGCGCCAGATAAAATTAAAGACCTCRCCTTTTTTGAGGAAACGCACATCATCTGTCGCCRTTCATGCCAGASTTTCAAACTGAAATCATCTTATGAGAAGTTAAAGCAGTTTTGGTCAAACTTGTCACAGCAGACGGCGGTCTCTCTGCTCCCCCTTTCTCCTTTGTTAGTCTTCTTAATGAGCCGAGGCGGTCAGAACACGTCAGTAAGAACACGGGGCGTCTTTTAAAAATGCTCGTGTCCCAGTTTTTGTTGCAGCCTTATTGAAATTTGCCACTTAACTATATGCAACTCATATCGTCATCATATTTTGATATCTCGGTATGACAAAATAAACTTTCAATCCRCCCAAGCGGCTCAGCTACTGTCTTTTCCAGCCTTTCGAAGGACAACATGGACCGGGTCCTTTGTCAACTGCAAAGACCCTGAAGTGTCTTGGGGGAGTGGTGATGCAGAGGTTAGAGAAGATGAGTGGACTTCTGTGGATCATTGGACATTGTGACAACAGCTACAGAAGCTGTCTTTTATCAAACTAGCTTTTTGAACCGGTTAACTTGTGTAAGAAATACGTGTTTAATATCGGCTGAAATCAGCTGAAAACACAAGTGTTAAATAAAATGATCTGTGATATGAAATAAATGTCATACAACACCAGAATTCTGGAGAGAGATGAGTGAGATTTATTTGCCACCGGACTGACAAGCCTAACCACACTGGATATAACCAGGAAATGGATCAGTATATATACAGAATCTTCAATGCCTGAGTTCGCCCCCTGCTGACCTACGGCTGAATCACCGGCATTCAGACAAAGACCTCACGCTAATGTTAACACAGCTTTTAATTATGTGTTATATATGAATTCAGTCATGTATCTATATCTACTCTATTTCAATTAACACATAATAGATCAAACATTATAAAAGTATTATAAAAAGAAAACCCTAATACTCTGGTGTTGTTTCTGATATCAGTACTAATCTATAAATAACTAAATTTCTTCACTTGAATAAGTCTCTTAAAGGGCCAGTATTATGTGTTTCTCAGGCATACATTTAAATACTATACCATAATAAAGTATCTATGTCACCTTTAGTTGTCATTAAAATGCTGTTTTTAT